CAAGCTGTTTCAGTCTACATACTTAATTGTAGGAACATAATGAAATGACTGAAAATTATATACATAACCAAAAACTATTTCTTCCAAGTTAGACACATGGCTCTGAGTTTCAAGAATTCCCTGGGCTGCAGAAATTTACATATGCATGATATAAATATAGAAAGCAAGGTGTAATTGCAAACTGATCAGAATAATAGCTTTGAAAAATGATTTGCACATTTACAATACTTTTTCATAAAATGACAGACTTTTTATAGTAATGAAAATTGTGCTGTATTTTAATTCTACAACTGCTGAAAGCAGTGGTAGAATCAATTTAGTGTTTCAAATATTAATGATCTTTCTTAAATAAGTAATTAGATAAGCATGATGTCACAAGTAGGGTTAGAAACATAAAGTGGGTGGGGTAGGAAAGAAGATGAAATTGTAACTAAAATGGGTTTGTATTTACAACTAAATATGTTGCAATTTTAATTTCTTGCTCTTGTCATAATGTAAATCAATTGGTTAACATTCACAGCAGTGTATTAATAGGAAACATCACTTATTGATCCTTGGACAAGTTATTATTTCAGTTACATGATATAAATCTGGAGTCACTTCACTTGTCAGTGGAATGATCTTTGAATTAAACCACTCCTAAAGCAAACATCATCTAGGCAAGAGTCAATATTTGTAATGCAGAGTTCAGAAACGTTTCTACTTTCTGCTTCTCTGAGTATAGCTGTTTATGTACCTATTTTATAAGTGCACATATATGACTGTTTCTGAAACTTCTGGTAACACAGTTAATCACCCTATATGCAGCCTGCAAAAACGACAAAACTAAGAAGTTCATTGTTATCACTGCTATACTCAATGAACCCATATTATTCAAGAGGTAGCTGTTTAGCTAAAAACGCTGTGATCCTGTAGTTTCATCTCCCTAGAAATGTCCTTTAAAAGACTACCTTTCACTTTAACTAAGAGTTGACAAGTCTTGCACTACAAAACAAAACCAGGAATGACAATTATTTTAAGAATGACTTGAACAAAGATTTTTCTCTGTGGCACGAGATGTATTTCCATCATGTAACTCTGAAGCCATGCTACTTTACCCAAGACATAGAAAACAACCCCAAACCTGTCTCATCCAAAACCACACTTACACTGACCTCTTCATCTCTGACGGTACTTTACTGAGGAGGGTGAGTACGGAGGAAGGAAGATAGAAAGAAGAGAAAGAACGCAAATTTGCACAACTTCTGAGATCGAAGACAACTAGGGGAAATCAGGATCCTCCCAACAAGCTGCGTGCTGGGAGGCGCAAGGTGGGTCGGCAGAGGCTTCCTGCCAGCCTTTTCCCGGGGAGGGGAGCAGGCAGGGAGCAACGCGGGCAGGGAGTTGGGGCTGGGACGAGC